TTATTATTGTTATTATTTCTTGTAAAATATACTAAACTCTTGTGTTTTTATGCGAGTGCATTCTGAATATTTAAACCGACCAGACATTCCACATCACTGAGACAATTTGGAGGTGGAGAGAAATACCTGCACAAGTCAGTCCCTTAGAGATGTCAGCAATTTGACTTGTACGATGCTCCAAAACACAAAGATTCATTCTTTGTCCACCCTGTTTGTATTTTACTCTCAGTTTAATATGGGTGTTCTCTAATCCATCAACTGGAAACATGCAAAACTTTTAAACGTGAAAACAGTTTTGCACAGCATCACCATGCATCCCTGCAACTTTTAGATGCAACAAATCTAAAAAAAAAATACTTGCAGCTGTAATCGCAGCAAAATCTGAGTGTGGCTGATCAAGAATGCATGCCACACTTTTCACATTTTTGTTAATAACATGTTTTTTGGTTTTTTTGGGGAACATTTCACATAAAATCTCAATGATATTAAAGCTTCCTCTTATGACTTGACAAAATGTGAAACAGTTGAATGGGGTGTGAATACTTTTGCAAGGCACACTATCTGCAAACAACACATCAGCAGACAAAAAAAGGTTCATTTGAAAAACCTTTGCAGCGCTATAACATGTTCTCTGTCAAGTGCCATGGTAATGATTTGCCTCACAAATCTCATCAGTGCATAATGAGGGAACAAGTGCTATTAGAAAGATGTAACTGAGATGCTTATCTTTGAAGATGCATCGGGAGCCGCAGGCTCAGTGACAGGCTCACCCCTGCTTTAGGACAGTCAAGATGCAAGCGGAAATCACTGCTTTATCATGTCAGATGGAGCCAGGAGGAGACATTAGCTCCACGGCATTATGTTTTTTTTTTTTTGTTTGTTTTGTTTTGTTTCTGTGACAGAACGTATACCCGCTGATTCCTTCCAAAATTTGTTTGGAGGCAACATGACTCAGTTTTTAAGTGAAGTCAGAGGCAAATTTGAGAGCGAGCATCAGTGGAACCTCAGCTCTGCAGGAATACACAAATATACTTTATGCAGATTGCTCTGTTTTCTTTCTTTTCCCTCTCTAACTCCCTCAGTGTTTCTCATTTCTGCAACTCTACAAATCACGGCCACAATAATGCCCGGGGCCTCCCTTTCTGAAAAGTAATATACTAAGATGGATGCATGCAAGCGGATCAGCGAGCAGCTGCAGGACAGGACTTTGGCACTTGGGCTCCCGATATTGGGTGTCTTAAATCGAGAGATAATTACGGTATTACACGGCAAGCATTGTCTCACCATAATACATCACCGGATCTGAAAACACAGAGCTAATTTAAGAGTATAATTTCTAAGTGCTGCGTTGTTATCTTGAAGGAGGAGTTATTTCATTAGCAAGTCTCAGCTCCCTCTCCAAAGACATCAGGGCGATGCTCATTTCCCAAGAATGCAAACTCCATCAAGTGGAATTTAGAAATCCAATAAAAATCTTGATTGTTCTGTGCTTTGCGAATAAATTGAGTTGCCCTTTTAGAACTTGTAGCAATCCTGTAAGCACATCATGCCGGGGAGAAACCAACAGTTTCAAAATTAGATGATGCTTCATGGAATGATTTGTCAATCATCAACTATAAAACTTTGAAAACATTTAATGTTCCTCCTGAAAAAATACAAACATTTGCATAAATTTAGCAGAGAGTGCAAAATACAGTGCCAGGCAGGAGGTATAAGCTCGTATTGGTTTCAAGCTCTTAATTATTTATTTGAAGGGTTAATTTTTCCTTGGTGGAATAATTGTACAACCAAGAAACTTCAATTCATTCCAATTTCAAAAACCGAATACACAAATTTAATTGTCTTTTTTTGGCACAAACTTTTAGGCAGAGTCCATGCAATTTGGTATATTTCCAAAAAAGCTTAATGTTACTTTCCTTTGGCAATTCCACAGCTAGTTTGTGTTTTGGGGGATCGTTGTCCTCTCAGGATACCCAGTTACATCCAGCTTTCAACTACCATGTTTAGCAGAGGAGAAAAACTTGATTAGAATAGTCAGGAACAATAAGGCTTCAGCATATCATGAACTGGAAGCTGCCAAGTTCCCTGTTAGTGATTTGCAATGCTGCCTAAAATGGTGCATAATGTTGTAATCCCTGTGAGAGAGATTCATGAATGTTTTCTGCAAATTTCTCTATTTTTAATACACCTACAATATATCTGTCTCCCAAAGGCCTGCGCCATTACACATATACTTTTGACGCTCCACGGAGCTCTCGTTGTCCTGAAAGCACAGCTTGAGACTTGAGAAAGCAAAAATAAAAATGTATTCACTTCAAGGAAAGGCGAGGATTGATGTGTTCACACTGAACACTGGAAACAAAGGCGGAAACCACAAAGACCGTCTGTCAAACGAACGGTGGCAGCCGTTCGGCATGTTAACAGCAGGGGTTGGAGGTCGAGAACAGAGGTCAGGTGAAACCGCCGGAGAAAAAAACTCACAGAGTCTGGCGGGAGTGATAAGTGGTAATTTTGAAAATGTGTGGAAAAGAAGTATGCAGCATTGAAAATAGGAAAAATTTTACCAACAGCGGTTCTGGGTCCTCAAATCAACAGATTTGCTTCCAAACTGCAAGGACACCATGTCACTGAAAGCAGTGACTGTCTGGCTTTGCAGACCAATAGATCAAGAACATGAGCGTGAAAGAGGAAAGAATTTAAGTCTTTAATCATTTACTGTTAGAAATGCAATGCGAACTCATCCAGGGACTGGAGCAGAGCTAAATAGTGATTGACCAGGACCCTTGGCACTAACACATAGTCTCTTCAGTGGGGAATTCACGAGGGACGCGTTCGTTTAAAAATGAAGTCAGATTTAACACAAAGCTGTTTTATCCATTCTAGCTTTCAAGATGCTGGATTTAGAAATGGTGGCTTGGCAGAAGTTTTGGAAATCTCAGCACTAAGGTAGGGGTATGTAATCTCTGGGGAATAATCAGAAAAAATACTAACAGTTTTAACACGATTATAAAATCTCTCTGAAACACTGTAATGTTGCCTTTGTTCCTCTTTCTATGTTATGTTACAACTTTCATTTGATTTATCATATTTTAGAAAGAACTTCACTAAAATCAAAGATCAAAAATTGGACACATATTTCTGATCTGTGTATCAGAAGAAACAGGCACATTAAGGCACATTAGTACACAAAGCACGGCTTTTGCTCTCCAGTTGCCAGAAAGCTTTTACTGACACATTTGTTTTCTCGTTGTGTATTTTTCCCTTTCAAACAAACGAAAAAATAAAAAAGTGGTTACATTTCAGTGACCTTTGGTTTCTGGGGGCTCCAGGCATGACTGTTCGTGGACCGTGACCGTGAGCTTGGTTCATTTTCACAGCAGAGGTGAGAGAAGATAAAACTTTCTAGGAAAAAAAACTCCTTTATTGTGCTGTGAAAGGGCACGACCAGCGTCTCCATATAATTCCACCATCCTATACGATGCTCCCACTTTAGAACTTCGGTTTTACATTTTTGTTTTTACACACCAGTATTTGATCGTTTGTTGACTTTTAGGTGAATTTGATCATCCGAAGGTACAGCGATGCTCTGCAATTATTAGCGTTTGACCACAACGCTGAAAACGTTCACATATTTCGACATGAAACGCTGTCCTCCTTCACTCTGCTGGCTTAAAGGCGCACACACTGTCACCTTCACAGGCAATTTCTGAGCTCTCAAGGCGAGGAGCGATTTGGGTTTGGTCCAGTGTGCTGTGACATTGGTGCTGTCAGGAGGCCTTCTGAAATGCCACATCGTCAGCTTCTCAGCCCAAGATGGAAACTTCTCGACGCAATTTAGAGCTTCCTCTTCCAGCTGCATTATTTTTTTTAGGCATTCAGTCTTCTTGATGAAATGGGTGCTGATGCTGATGAGGGAACTGTATTCACCGCGGCGAGGACAGCGCGTCTTCTTCTCATCGCCGTCCCGGATTCGGCAGAGCCTGAAATGATCAACTATAGAGCAGGTGGTTGCATAAAAGCTAAAAAATATTCCAAGGAACTTTCACTTTGTAAAATAATGGCTCCCTCCCCCCATCAAATAGTGAGCATACCTCCATCTCATCTCCAGGACGATCTGCATCTGTCGATTTTGTCCTGTTATACACAGTTTGATGCTGGTGTGATTCCAGCAGAACCTTTTGAATAAAAACCAAGGCTGTAAATCACTGCCAAGCTCGTGGGATTATAAAGCAGGACACCACATGGTGTAGGGCTGCCTTTGTTTTCCCCGCTCACTCATTATGCAAAATCTGTCAGCCCTGAAATATTGACAAGAATGGCGTTGGCTGGGAACAGGCAGTGAAGCAATCAGAGCATGTTGTAGGAGAGCTGGAACAAAGTTTGTGCTTTATTTAATGATGAGATCAAGAGGAAATTAGCAAACCTTTTAATGAGGGATTAAGGAAGTGCTACATGTTTTATTTTTAACTAATTTTCCACCGATACGGAACTAATGGAATATTCTGACCTGTCGATACCAATTTCAGCAGATTGGGTTTTAATTAGAATCATAATTATGGTGAATGAGCTTTTCACACTTTCAGATGATCAAATATTAAAGGTTTTCTAAGCAAATAAAAATAAAAAAAACAAGTTTCAAACAATTTTCATTAAGGGAAACCTCTCCAAACCAAAGTGAGTCCTTTGTAAAGATGTCATCAAACATTAACCTAAACAAAGTAAGTTTAAATGAGTCATGAAGAAAGACATCTAGATAAAGAATTGAGTTAGACGTGGTAATGCGTCATCTACTGCGAATTGTCGGTGGAGGCTCGGAAGGAGGAGTCAGAGTTTGAGGGTCCGGTTTCAGCAAATTGACAAAATATCCAGTGGCCAATTAAATCCCATTTTACATCTGGCATAAAACTAACACGAACCTTTTCAGAAAAACATCAACACAGTCGGACGTGGTGGTGCTAGTGGCTGGAGCTGAACATGGATGAAAGACCATAACCATACAGTGAAGAGGAGGATGAGTTTAATAATAAAATAGAACATGTACATTTTTTGTAAAACCATTCTGTCAATGATTGTCACTTTTCTTTTTCTGTTTGCACAGGGCTGATAAAAGAAAACAAACTCATAGACATACGGTGCTAACATTTTTTTTTTGATGATTTCCAAAGAAGCCTGACTTTCTTTGACTCATTTTATGTGGTCTTGCGTAATAGCCCTCTGGGAGTTTTGAAGATTGTTTTAATTTAAATTATTTTTTTTTTTTTGTCAATTTTTAGTGACCATGTAAATCACTCTCTTCATCATTTTCTACAGCACATGTTGACCCATCCAAAGAAGTTGACCCATGATCAGGAACTTCTGATCATGAAGCAAAATAAAATCCTTTGGCAGCTTTGTGGTCTGACAGTGTTCTGTTGCAATTGTCCATGCTTGTCAACCCTTGCCATTGACATACAATGAATGGTTCTCAAGAGAGAACCGATGGGGTTTTATTACACAGCAGTGATGCTTGAAAGGTACTAAATTGAGAACAGCGCTTTGTTGTGAAGGGATGGCCAATGACCAAATATATCTGGTACAAGATGTTATGCTGAATATTAAGGAGATGTTTTCTGACAAGTGGCGCACGTTGTTCTGTCCTTTAGAAGGGGAAAAGTCTCTTACGTAGCACTTTGCATTGATCCTGCCGAGTTACTCTCTGTGTCTTCTAAGGTTTAATGAGTTCATTTCTATTAATGAGGGGTCACATTGCTGCCGTGATTTGTGTTTTTCAAACAGCTAGAGGCGGTCTAAAGAAGAGTTTGTCAAGGTGTCAAAGTGAATAGCTGCTGAAAGAGGTGTATGACCTGCCTTTTAAAGGTGGAGACCATGGAGACGCCGCGAGGCAGTGAAACTAATAATAAACAGTCGAAAAGACAACTGAGTGCACCATAAGTTCCTTATGGGGGTTTCATTGTAAGTCAACCACCCTGAGACTGAACAATAAGAGAAAACCTAAATTTACCCTTTGAGCATCAAAACCACTTTGCTGAGTTATTGCTGGTGAATAACTCAGCAAAGGTCTTGCGGGACATCAGGAAGGTGAATGTCTCTGGAGACAGAAATTGAAGGCGCGAGAGAAGGACAAAGAAGAACCATCTTGAAAGGTTAAGCATGTATCACATGCAGACTGTTTGGCTGGTACTGATGATCCCTACCAATAGGGACATAAGGCTGGATTGAGGAATAGTTTGAGGTGCTGCTCATGCCAGATCTAACAACAGGCACATAGCAGAAAAGCAATAGGAACCGGCGTCAACCATATCATTAAGACCCAAGCTGCAGGAAAGACCTACTGACATTTCCTGCAGAGGCAGTTCAGCACTTAATGTGAGGTGAAAGACGGAAACAGGCAAAACATGCATCGAATTGAATAATTCAGTGGTTGAAGAGGTCCTTAGAAACATATTTGCCGAGTTTGACGGTTTGAGGCACGGTCAGGGTGGAAGAAGAATGAGGGTGAAGATTCCAGCTCCAGACTGGCAGACGGATGATAGGAACCCAAAGTAAAGACAGTGGCAGTGAAGAGTAAAGATCAAAGTTTAAAGTATGAAAATCTTTAAAACATCACTTGAAAACCTTTTACTTTTCAAATTTAGCTGTAGGTTACCTTTGGGAGCAATTCTACACATTGGATACAGACATTTTTTTGAAAACACAGTGTGTATTTTTTAAAAAGAATATAAAGAGGTGCAGCAGCTTTATCGGCTATTTCTAGAAAATAATTGATTCGAACCTGAAGCGCTCAAGCAGATGATGCTAATACAAAGCAGCAAGTTTCTATTTGAGAGCAAGGAAGAATTTATGATTACAAAAGCAGCTAAAAATGTTGTCTGTTGACTGTATTACTGATAAACATAAATCATTTTCTCTGCCTGCGTTTAAATGTTTTCAAATGTGTCTGTAGCTTTGATCTTTAAGCGCTACTTTAAAGATTATAACTTTATGAGAATGACATCATTTTAACAAAAGTTTCCAGTCAGAGGTACGTAGAGGTCATGATTTCATTTTGGGTTTTTAATGACACAACAGAACCACTTTACTCACTGCGATCAAGTTTGACCATGGGTAACTTCCACTGGGACATTTAAGCAAATATTTGTGTGTGTGTGTGTGTGTGTGTGTGTGTGTGTGTGTGTGTGTGTGTGTGTGTGTGTGTGTGTGTGTGTGTGTGTGTGTGTGTGTGTGTGTGTGTGTGTGCATTTGTTTGAGCCTTCTGGTGTGATTCTGGCCCTCTGTGGGTGACAACAAATCTCCAATAAATCCAGACTTGTGCATGCAGTTCCTATTTTCAGAAGCCATTGCTGCTGAATCATTTCATCCTGATACAAAAATGACTCAACTAAATCACCAAAAGCCTAAAATTAAAAAAAAGCATTAATGTTCACAATGATTAAAACAATTAACCAAAACTGTTTAAATGAGTAGAGCAGAGAAAACAGGGAAAGAGTAAGTCAATAAATTATGTTTGTGCCCTCGTGTAAAAGTCGTGACTTCAGTTGTTTCTCCTCAGTGTGACACTAAGATTTGCGCCCACATTTCATCTTTTTTTTGTCACCCCTGGTCGGTCACACAGAAGGTTATGAAATGAATCCCTACAGGTACGCACAGAGGCCAGAGAAATGCACTGCTGCGACGGCCGAGGACGAACCGCAGAGAGGTTCAAGAAGGAGCGATATTAACATTTTTATCAGGACTGCGGGCAAAGCTGATGCCGCATTCCAGTTAACTCAGAAAATTGGACTGATAAACCCTTTATATCGTTCTCTTTTTTTGAATTTTTTTTTAAAATTTTTGTCTACATTTCACCTCTCAGCCCTGTGATATTCAGCGTCGGCACGAAAACAGCAACTTCGAAACAACAAAGCCGTCAGGAATGCAGCATCACGGGACACGGGTAGCACAGAGCTAGGAATGAACAAGTAAAACGCAAACAGAAATTGAAGCATAAAGTCATTTCAAAACACGGAAACACCTTTTGTTAAAGGAAACAAATTGAACATACATATATGTACATAATAATTCCAGAACTGTAAGCATAAAATGGTGTCTAGAAATGTTGCCTCTTCCATGTCCTATTAACTTAATGTGTGTGAGGCGTGTTTCACCTCTGCTTCTGTCTTCATAGCTGTGATGAACAAACAGTACCCTTTGGTTTAGGTGAGGCTAGGCATGATGTGGTCCTCAGCTTGATAGGAATAATAATAATCATAGAGATGGTTTTCATCACTCCAATGTTGTTTGTCAAAGTCTTAGAACTGCTACCCACTTAAGTGTCACATTTAGTACTGTCACCAAGAACAGAAAGCACCACAGCTGCAGTAATTTGTTTTCCTCTCTGTCTCTGTGAGCCGACCCACACACAGAATAGCAGCTTTAGAAAGTCGGCAGACATCGTGAACAGCTCTCCTCTCGTGCTGCAAGTTCTCGACATCAAAGTTCTCAAAAAGAATTAAAAAAACCCAAAAAGGAGCCGCAGCAGCAACATAAGAGTAAAGTGTAAATAAAATGCTTCAGTCTCGTAGCTAATCCTCTCTCCTGGTGAGCGCTGGGACCCGTATATTGACCCCGTGCCAGACAAATTAGCCTTAGAGATTTATTCGCTGAGATTTATTCATTTTCTCTCTTCTGACCCGGGTGTGTGTCTGCCGTTACGCTCCGATGAAAGCGTAGCCTAAGCGAACGTGTCTCCCGATTTCAGCGCCACCAGCTCCGAGTCCTTTGTGTGGCAGCCGTTCAGGTGCTCGGCGTTGCACTCGTGGTGGTACATGAAGGCCGGCACCTCGGTGATGGAGGTGGCCGTGTAGGACGTAGAGCGCATTGAGCAGTGGTCCTTCCGTCGCTGACCCCACTGGGTTTTGTACTGCATCCATTGCCTCTTCAGAGCTGCCTGCACCTGAAGTACACAAAAAAAGACACACAAAAAATAATAAATAAAAAAATGCACAGGTCTTATTAAAATAATAATAATAAAAAAGACTAAAAAGAAAACATTTACCCCAAATTCAACATCTTTCATTTCATTCCTCCTGTCTGCTCTGCTAATGACTCCACCAGACATTTAGATTTACATCATGTGGTTTCAGCGTGGGGTTAGAGGGCAGACACCACATAACCAACATTATGTGAGAATATTAATCAAACTGACACTGATCGCAACTGATGCAGAGCCTTGCAAACATATGCGGACAACGTCTTCACACTTTTGTCACGTTACAGCCACAGACTTTGATGTATTTTGTTGGGGTTTTATGAGACTAACAGATTGTGTGATTCTCAAGGGGAAGGGAACGAATAAATGTTTTTTTCTGATATTTTTCTAGCTAGTAGGAATCTAAAAAAAGCACAGTGTGCATTTGTGTTCAACTACCCCGAGTCAAAGCTTCAAAAGAGAAACATCTTTAGCTGCATTTTAAGCTGTAATTCTATTGAATATGTTTCTACTCTTTCTGGCATCTACACACTGAATGTTATCATAAGAATTCACAGAATAGTTGATGTTCACCAGATTGGATGCATAGTTTCTGGTAATAGTAATTTTCTGGACTTTACATAGATTCTCATTTGGATATATAACAGGGATTTGACTGAGCCATTTTAATTCATAATTATGCTAAGCTGTGAACTATTTCTTTGTAGCTTTGGATGGACCTTTAGGGTGTCTGTCCTGTTGAAAGGACTTGTGACTTGGATTTGCTCAACAGTAGGAGTGCAATCTGTAATCCAGGCATTTTTACCATTAGTGACATAACAAATTTGCTCCTTTAACAAATACAATCTAGAAGGTATGAGTAAAAGAGCGCCCAGATTTTTGCCTAACATTTTTTAGTTTGATAAAATAACAGGGTGCAGATCTTTCCACTTCGACATGTTTTGCAGCCATTTCAGTGTCAGAGAGGAACTTGAGAAATTAGTTCATTAACGGAGACTTACTGTGAGCATCTGACGCAGAAAACACTTTAATAAGCAAATGAATCAAATCTATTTTGTGACATCTCAAAATCCATTACTTCCCTGAGGACTTACTGGAAGTAATCCGTGAAAACCTCTCTCTTTCGTCAGTCACGCTGTTATATAAAGAAACGTAATTATCTTGCAAATACAAAATTCAGCAGGGATGGTAACTGACAAGAGTCACAGGCTTTGCCTCATAGATGGGCTGACAAAGCCAGGGAAGGATTCTTGTGGATCCATCATGATGAACAGAACATATGTAGTTTGTTGGAAAATTGCTGCAGCTGTTAAAATACTTCAGGAGGCAACAAGTTATTTAAACCTAATTAATGCACTGAGCAGCTTCTGACGCATTACCAGAATTATTACGGACTCAACTTTTTTCACCTACTAATTGCTCTGTCTCAGCATCTCATTCACAAAGCCAACAGCACGAATGGCAAGCCCACGCAAACTCAGCCATCGATCACTTCAGGTGTTAACAGCGTCTACTGTTTTGCAGGAGGTTTAAGTTGCCTTTCGTCACAAATTAAATATGAACGTCTGTAGAGGATACAGAAATGGTGTCTTACTTCCAGGTCAAAGGGTCTCTGCAAAACTGCAATAATATCACTGTGTAAGTGAGGAAAGTTAAGAATGTCATTTCTGAGTCATAAAACATATTGCCAAAATTGGAAAAAAAAAACATTTTTCCCTACATTCCTTATTTTCACTTAGTGGTGTTTGCTGCCCAATCATTCCCTCTTATAGAGAACAGGAAATTGGGTCAGACTGTACACAGTTTGTTTGAGGTGAGGATTCAGGACTCAGTTTGGGCTGAAACTAATCTGAGCCTTGGAGAGCACCAACGAGACCCCAGAGGATTTAAACAGATGACAAAACTAGGTCTCTTGACCTAAACAGATTTTTGCAAAGTGACAGAGGCAGAGCGGATGAAGTGACCGTTAACCTTAAAATGAAAGAAATTTTCAGGCTGCATCCATGATTCACAGTCCGATGATCCTCAGCATTTCCAGTATCACAGATTTTAGCCTCTAGACACGCATGGTAGAAACTTTGCTTTTAAATTGAAATTCTAGATAAAATGAATCAGCGATTCATTTTATAAACACTTATGTAACAGCCAAGGCACTCTGACTTCAACATGAACAGAGTTGACCCGCTGTTTCAGGTGCACTGTGCTTACTGTAGTTCTCCTTTTAAACAGTAGATGTCTCTGCAGAGAAAACCTGCCTGCCTTCAACAAGTGTTAGCAAACAAAAAAAAGCATCAGGAGAAGGTAAATACTTTATATAAAGTTTAGCAATCCAGGTGATACTTTTAGGTATTTCAAGTATATATATAACATTTTGCTGTGAATATTCACTCTTTCATTAGAGCCAACCTTGCACGCTTTTGTTGAAGTCTTCTTTTAGACCGCTGTTTGCTACTTGCTGACAGGGTCGGTGCTGCAGTAATGAGAGGCAGTGTGTCGGGGCACCAGTGAGAAAGTGAGACGAACACTACACCTCTGAGTCCGTAGCAGAGATGATTGCACAGACGAGTTGGTGAGAAGGTGTGAAGTGAGAGGCAGCAAGGGCAGAATGATGAAAGTTAATATAATGTAGATGATTGCATCATGATTTTATTTGAATCAAGGCAAATCAAAGGCGGTGCTCATCTTTGAAGCCTTATCACAAAATCATTTAGTGGAAATGTTATCTGTGCAGAGATGTCATGCATGCTCATGTCATGTTTTGTGAGGACACGTTCACACTAATTGGACTCCATCCTGGAGTGCGATCAAACCAGAAGCTCAGTGTAAACCAGTTTGTTCAGAGCAGCACACTAATACTGGTGTGAGTCCTGTGGGTAGTACATTACCGCATAGCGATGTAATGATATTAATGAAGCTGCTAATTGTCGTAATGAGACAAAAGAGCAGCCGAGGCTTAAAACTCCCATGTAGGACATCTTGGTTGATGACACAAACACAACTTGGAAGCTGTTTGTCTTGCTGCCCTCGTGTCACAATGGAGCCATTGATGGAACAAGGCAGGTCTGTGCAGTCTGGCCTTGAAATAAAACAAAAAAAAGTGAATTGAGCCCAGCCCCAGAAACCCTTGTCCTGATTAAGGGAGCATGAATTGGTTATTATGTGGGTGAAGAAAAACAAGCCTCGCTCGTTCCCCTGTGACAGGTTGTGTGCTTGGCCCTTAAACATATGCACCACACATTGTTTTTATTCAAAGAATCGTTTACATAGTTCCAGATGATTCTCCTGGATGCTCGTGTAGGAGTTAAAAGCTGACCTGTTTTTGCAAAATAAAGGCAGAAACCCAAACTCCACAGTAGGGGGATTTTTGTCATTTGTGCCAACATCTGCTTGTTGTGTGTTTGACTGTTTTGGCCTTTTCTTTTTATGAACTCAGGCCTGGTGTTTGAGTTAATAAAACAAAATGTCATCGTCTAACTAAGGGACGGATTGTCAGCAGGACAGGTTTTTATACACAGAAATGGCAGACGTCAGCTTACATTACTTTGCTAAGCTATTCCTTCCCCATGAACTTTTTCATATTTTGTCATCTTACAAAATTCACAGCGTCGTTGTGAAACAGAACAAAAAAAGGAACATTTTGTTTAACTAACTGAAATCAGGACATTTATCGAGCTTTCCTTTATGCTTACAATATGCCAATATTTATATTTGACAAATTAGAATGTAAAAGTTTGTCTATTTTAGTATCTTAATTCATTACATGACAGCATGGATTACATTAGTTACACACAGAGTCTGTTAATTATGATGGTTTTTCACATGCAGCTAATGGAAAAAGCTTTTTCAATACAGAAATGTGGATTTAATGCAAAAGTATGTCCAACACCTGCAATAATAATTATTTATTTCAAAAGTGCTTCTGTATGAAACAGATAGGAAAATGAAACATCCCTCTTTTTTCTCCTACATCACACTTAAATACTGCTGTGTTTTGTGAAAACCCAATTAAAATCATTGAAGTTACTGACTATATCATTTTCAGAGGTGCAAATTCTTTAGCGAGCTGCTGTACATCAACATCTTACTGAGAGGCAAGTTTTCAAATTACACCGTTTTGCTCCGCCAGAATCTTACACAGATGGCTGAGTTTAACTGTCTGCTCTTTGTACGCAGTTTAAGCTGCAATGCACCAGAACAAGGTGATAAAAAACCTTCAATTCAAGCTTCTTGAAGACGTGGAGCTTAAAAGCGTCTTTCACTCATTGAAGCCGGAGAGCCAAGAAGTCTCGTCAAGCTCATTAACCTCGTAAGCAAATGTTCGTAAGAGATCTAAATCATTGGTTGGGGGAAGTGTTTGAATCCTGCTAAGGCTGTTTGTCTCTGAGCTGCCGACAGATTTGGAAAGGCTGACCTGGGAATGTGAAAGGAAAGTCAATTTCCAGATAAACTCGGCATCCCAAACAGTCATTAAATACGCAGTCTGACTCGTCACTTGATGTGACCTTTACGCAATAACCGCCTTCACATTGCGTTTCTAAGGGACAAGCACCAAAATGAATTTAAAATCTGACACAAACAAAACTTTGTCCTTGTATTTAGCGTCCCTGTTTGGCATTTTGACATGCTGTCAGGAGCAGATATATATGGAAGAGATTGAACATACAAATACAATCCAAACTTGGCTTAGCTGGTGACGCCAGATGTCCCACAATAATGCCTCAAGCAGTGAGCAGCTTTGTGGCTGAGCAGGTCTCAGGACAACAGGTGGATGCTGACCTTTACAAAAGGGCAATTGCCCCATTCAGGATAGCAAAGTCATGTCAAACATGGAACCAGATGACAAGAATTATAAAGGAACTGCTTAAAATGAGGTTGATTGATAACTAATTTATCTTATAACCATATTGATAAACCTAGACTTGAAAGTCTTTTATTTTTTTTTACAGCTTGAAGATCTTTGTTAAAGAGCCATGGACAACTCACCCAAAGAAAGGTGAGTTTTCTCCAGCACGAAGAGAAAACCCCTCCCTCACTGTTTCAGTGCCCTATTGTGACACCTGACTTTTGTTCATGTGAAAGATAATTGGGTGTTTGGAAATTGTTAGTGTGAAAACTGAAGGAACATTGTCCACTATTTCTCCAATGGTAATGTGTGTGTGTGTGTGTGCATGTGTGTGTTTTTTTAAGTAAAGTTGAGATGCCTGTTAAGCCTGTTGAATTTAATTATAAATTAATTCTTGGAAGACTATGCTAATATGTAATCACAGACTTTTGTCTGAATGTCTTGTACTAACTAAAGTATTTTCATAGATCATTGTGATACATATATGTAAATACTAGCCCATGTTCTTCCACTCTCAAAATAACATTAAAACAATGTGACAACATTATAATATGATAAATGCAGTTGATTTATGGCATTTACAATCCTGTCTCTTTTTTGTTACTCATTAAAATCTTTTTCCTTTACAATTTTATTTATACATTGTTTCATCTCCCCCGCAATTGTAAATATAGCTTGTATATTTTTGTTTTTCATTCCTGTGCATGGAGACTTTCCTTTAGTATCCAAATCTGCCTTTCTATCTCTGGTTGGGGTTCTTTTCCTGAACTTTCCCTGACATCCATTTCTATTTTTAGATGAAAATCATGGGGGAAAAAGCACCGGAATTTACATACAAGCCTTTTTAGTATAGTTTGCATAAAATTAGGAGTGTTCCTTACCTCTCCATTGAAGAAGCAGAATATTGTTGCCACCAGCAAACCCTTAAAAAAAAAAAAAAAAAAAAAACATTAATTTCCATCCATCCATGATCAATAAGATTTGGTTAGCATGTTCAGGATATAAATTAGATCCAATTTTTATCCAGAAATGTAGTTTAAATTCAATTCATCCATATAAGGAGATTCAAAGATGTGAAATACGCGTCGAGAAGCTAAAAACACATAATGGACAAAACCCCCAGGAATTTATATAAATTCTTTAAGAGCCTCAAACTTGTTTGACACACATGTGTATGTAAACATCTGACCCCAACAGGAGTAACACAAGTACGAGCTGAAAAGTGAGCCAAAACCTTTTCTATTCAAAATGTCAAGAGGGAGAGTTTTACTAATGAATACTGAGGTTTGGGTTCCATTTTTAAAAAGGTGTTATTTTAATATTACGAGCAAACTGCACTGCTTTGAATATGTTTCCCTCATCACTACCATAATGTTTACATGACCTGCCTGAAATGGCATCCATTCACAATGCACTACAGCAGCACTATAATAATTTGTAATAGTCTGCTCCTTTAACTCTGGGTTGATGGACCCAGAGTTAAAGTTAGATTAAGTTAGATTGACGCCATATCTCGGTACCTACCTGATAGTGCATGAGTATGTGCATGACATACTCGTAGACCTCACCGGCCAGGCGGTTCTCCGGCCGCCAAGGAAAAATGACAAACTGTATTCCGAGCAGGGGCACCAGGATCAGGGTGGCTCTCACCGCCTTCATGTACATGTTGGACTCTGCTCGGTGAGTGTCTCGCAACTTTGTCACCAGCACTCTTATGATATTCAGCAGGAAGAAGAGGTTAACCTGAGACAACGACGGTTTTGTGTTCAAACAAATGTCACTCTGCGTCAAAAGCTGTGAATAACGACGAGGATTAAAGTGGAGGCAGCAGACTTACAAGGAGGGCTGCCACTATGGGTCCGTGTACCGCGTAGAGCAGATGGGTCTCGACGCTCATCCAACAGCTAGAGCGAGAAAAACATCTCAGTCAGAACTGTTCGCTGCCCAAGATACACAGGAACACACACATTATGAAAACACATATGTGTACAGGCCGGCATGCTCTCACTCGGCCGCGCGCGGCGCTACACATGTGTAAACCTCTCTTTGTTTATTTGCACAAGTTTTATGGAACATTACTCACTTGTCATCGAAATACTTTTTCCTCGCTACGGCGTGGATGGACACAGGCACCAGAGGAAAGCCTGGAAGGGGAAAAGACAACCATATGAGGCAGCGTTCATTCATCATCATGCGTCCCTTAGCCATGCTGAGCTTCTTTAGAATATATGGTGTTACTTCATAGAATATCTCTGAATGTTTTGCTTTGATACGTCTTCCAATCCTAATTTTGTTTCATTGGAAACAAATGAAAAGCCACATTTTCAGTGACATTTCAGTCTAATTTGAAATTCTTCCAGGGGGGGACTAGGCTCAAATATTTTTATTTTTTATTTATTTTCTGGATGCCAACACAAAAATCCTTGTGTAGATTATTTTCACACACCAAATGCATTCTGCCACAGATCAACTGCAGATGGAGCTGAAGAAAAAAAAGACTTTTCTTTAGGCACATGCACAAAATCATGCGCTATGCAAATCTCTTTAATTTGTTCACGTTTTGTTGCACTGAAACCACAAACTTTAATGTATCCTATTGTAAGTCTACTGAAATATAGCTCATCATTGTGAAGTAGAAACAAAAAGTTAGTGGTTATTGGTATTGGACTCATTTATGTTAAGTCTTTAAGCACAAAGTAAAATACACTGAGGTTTGTTGTTGTAACAAGACAAAATATGAAAAAGGTCGAAGGTTATGGACACTTCTGTAAGGCATTATGCACACTTCCCAGAAAACGTGGCCCAAAGGACTTGAATATTTAAAATGGTAACAATTGTTGGACACACTGGTTCAAAAAAGGGGGAAAAAAATAACTAAAGTCAAATTAACCCACCAAAGGGCTTATAAAGCTGTCAGCATGTGTCAAAAACTAGAAGCTGCAGTTATAATTTAAACCCTGTAAGTTTTTATGAAACGTACATCGTTTCACAAAAACGATGTACGTTTTCATACTGCCATATGAAAACTGTCATTCATATGACAGTTTTCTGTCAGTATGAATGACACAACAATGCACTTTGTACACACACACCCCCCCCCCCCCCCCCCCCACACACACACACACACCCACACACACACGCACACAAACTCACCCCAGCCCAGTAGGTAGTACCAGTGTAGGTGCTGCTCCTCTGCAAACACAGCTACTACGATGAGTGTGTGCAGGTAAATGCCCTCACAGAGCATCCAGAAATAGTTGCAGCCCAACATGTACATGTGGAAGAAGTGCAGAACCTTACAGCTAACCTGCAGGGAGGGGATGAAATACAATAATTGATTATTTGTTGTACTTTTGCTTTCACAAAGAATCCCACCCACTTTCAATGTTGACCTGGTGTTTTATTGAGATTTAATTGTGAAGGAGAAACATTTTCAATGTTTTATTTATTTATTTGCAGATTTTTGTATATTGAACCTAAAACACATTTCATTTACTTTGTCATGCAATACTTGACAAAGTGTGAAGTCTCAGAGAAATTAATATTTTTGCAGATTTGTATATATGTACTTTGCAGCATGTGCACAAAAAGGATCCAGTTTAAGCACTGAAAAACATCATTTCAGCATGACATCAAAAAAAAAAAAAAGAAATGATCTAATGGGATGTTGTATTGCTTTTGGCAGACAATCATTAGGAGGCGTTAAGCTTCCCGGGCTGAAAAGACATTTATTCATTTACCCCCTTTGGAGGTGAGTTGAGTTGAAAATGGTGATTCTTGCTTGAACGTTAGAGGCATCTCTGATTGAGTTTGTTGAACAATACAAAAATAATTGAAAAAAGTAGCTTATGGAGAACTGCGTGGTTATATACTGCTTATGAAACTGCTGCTGCAATGCAACAAAAATGACAGCACATCTCATTATAGTTTCTGTTCCTTGATTAAGTCATTACATTAAGAAGTGATGACTTTAATGATATATTATTATCATGTCAATCTCATCCAACCACTGCCTGCTGATGTTATAATTATCAACACACATGTGGATGTGCTACAAGTCATAGTTCTTCGACCGACTGTCAAAAAAAAAGAGCAAAATGACTGAATGTGCTGAAAATCCTCCTCACTCACTCGTTTTCTGAAATCACTTAATCCTGCTCAGGGTTGTGTGGGGACTGGAGCTGATCTCAGCCGAGAGGCGGCGTGCATGTCATGGCTGACACACAAATTAAACAACAATGCTCACTGTCACTCCTGCTGAAAGGCACATTTGAGTCACCAGTCAATGTAACTTGGATGTTTTTTTTTTTTTTTTTGGACAAAAAGCTGCAGAAAATCCACCATCTTGCAAAACTTTCCATCATGGAAAGTCTTCTATTAAAAAGCAAAGAGCCTTTGAAAAATAATTAAACGGAGTCATATTTTAGCCTAACGCCAGTCGGTGATTTAAGGTCACAACAAGCGAGTACCTCTAAGTAGCTTCAAATGAATTGCCGTTTTCATTTCATTGACACATCTGAAAGAATTTCCACAGCTGATGTAAGAATCTTCCTAAAACTGATGTAGTTTCAAAGTTTGTCATTAAACTCAGCATTAAACTCAGAGGTGCCACAAAGCTGTGTCCTCGGCACCCACCACATAACTGTTTAATTTGTCAAGTTGACAAGCTCGTTTAGCGCAACACTATAGCTTATTATACTGTACTTCATTCAATAAAGAAAAAAAAAATCTCAATAAATAAATTCCACTCTTTTCTTTTAAAATTTTCCCCCAAAACAGACAATGGGCTTGACTCATCATCAAATCTGCATCATAGTGTTAAAACTCCAAACTTTCTTTAGGAGCTTTGCGTACCGAGGTCTGAAAGGTTCTGGTTGTAAAAGCCCCGGCAATAGATTATCTAGATCTCCTTTGTGTTCAGTCTCCTCCTGGGTTCGACAGAAGCTTCGAGGCTCAGATGCTCCGCAATGCTTGCAGGCCAAACCAGACTTTGTAGCACCACACCGCAGAAAATAGAAAACGCATGTTTTCTTGGTAAGAGCAAATCTTTCCTACAATCTACTGTTCCTAAATCACAACCTCCAAAAGCAGGCTCATTCATCAACAGTGGCAGCGATTAATTTCAAAATGTTTCCCAACAGGCGCATTTGACTCCAAGCCGTTGCTACTCCTGATTTCTCTTTCTGCGTGTTTTTCAGAAGCAGAGCCGCAGTGACTAATTTCGTTTTTGATACGCAGCAGCAACCAAGCAAAACTTGACCATGCTACATGGAAGAGCAACGGATTCAACGAAAACCTCTTTTGACAAATTTCGACAGCGAGGGATTTAAAAAGGGGAGCCACCACAGGCAGGAACCTATCATTATCAATGTGAGGAAACATTGACGACGAGGCTTGTCAGTGTTTTCTGCTTCTTGGATCCATTTATGAAGCTTATGTGTTGCAGAGATTTGGAGGAATCGAGCAGCAGCATATTCAGAAAACTCCTCAGTTCCAGCTGCAGCCTCTGCAGTCTCCAGTGTTTCTAATTGTTGTTTTGTTTCGTGAGAGAGATGCTTCAGCAGGGGATGATGGGATTGGGGAGGAACGTGGGCCAAATTCTACATTCCCATCTCTTCTTTGGGAAGCACTTTGATTGTCTGAACTACTTTTTTGAACCACTTTAGCTAAATGTTTACATCCACATTGTTGAGGCATGTGTTTGTCTTTTTTTTTTTTTTTAAGTCTTAAGCGAGGTTTCTAGGACACATCTCATCAGGTTTCATTAACCTGGAGAATATTGACTGCATGCAGTTTTATTTGGGTCAAAATAAAAGCAAAGATGATATAATTCTTTCTTTCATATTTGGAGAAAATTCTGCAAAACCTTTTGAGAGGCAGGCGCAGTGGGCATTTGGCGTCGGGAGCTTCCGTTGTTTTGATTTCCAAGGACGAATAGACAAATTTATGTTCAACCCTGATAGCGAGACATTCCTACATGACAGATTTATTACTTCTGCCTAGCAGACCTCGGAGTTCCATAGACTTCACGTCAGCTTTCAGCGAAGCTGCAAAACTCCAAGAGTAGAAAAGAATGGAATGTAGAAAACTAACGCTCATTGGTGTGTAGCTGAGGGCAGACTGCATTCAACTTGCTGGCGTGGCACAATAAATACATCAATGCTGTTATGTGTCATGGGTTTATATTTCACTTTGCGTAGCATAATAATGTTTTACTTCAGGAAACTGTAAGCGATTCCATTATAAACCCTGTCCTCTGTTGCAAAGTAGCTGAACAGACATCATTCGTAAAAGGATTTTTTTTAAACATTTTATTTTTGATTATATATATATTTTCAAAATACAGCTATGTAGATTTACATTTATTTATTATGTATTGGTTGTCCATTTCCAGGCATATTCAGCAAATATTATTTAAAAGTTATTCTAATTCAGAGACAATTTACTAAGTAGAAAGCATTACAAAGACAAGCTTCACACAGACGAATGTTGTCAAGCCTTTATTTCTGTAGGTATTAAAACATAAAACAAAAGACAGATGTGTGGGCTTAACGAAAGCAAAGGTATTCTGAAAAGACACGTTTGATTTGAGAAATGAATCTCATTTTAATTTACTGAATATGACTGGACATGGGATTGTTTGATAACACATCAAGTATATTCTGGGTTAAGGCGACTGACCGGGTTGCTGGCCACCACTTGGGGATTGTTGACCACGGTGACGAGGTAGATGATGGTGAGGGCAGAGTTCAGCACATAGGAGCAGAACAGGTTCTTGTGGAGGGTGATTCTTTGACAGCTCAAACTCCTGTGAGATGCAATAAAATGTCACTGACGTAAAGCTACTTTTTATTTACTTTTTATTATGTATCTTCTCTCCAGACTGTCACCTGTCCTGAAGTGTTTGGATCACTTTCCCAACTAAGCTGTTGTCTCTACAGTCAATCTGACTACTTTTATCTGAGAAATCTGGCAGCCATGACTTAAGAGTTGTAAATAAGTGAGCAGTGTTGGGACACGCCACCAGATAACTCATCGAAGGCTCAACATCTGGATCTCATAATAAGAGATGAGGATTTCTGGATTTCAAGGGGTTTGGCAAAAATATGTGCAGACTTGTGTTAAAAGAAAAGTTGTCTTTAAGGATTTTGATATTTGTTGGTGACTTTTTGAGTTCTAGAATAAAACACCTACCATAAATTAGGTGTACTGATTTATAAGTTAACTTTATGCTGTGCATAAAGTTAATAATCTTTTGTGAGACATCTCATCATTACAAAATATAAATATAAATATATATATATATATAATATATATATATATATAATATATATATATATATATATATATATATATACAATTTTATAGTAAAAAACTGAATTTTTTATATATATAGTTTTGTAGTAAAAAACAGATTTTTTTTTTACTCTTACTTTTCTCCAGTTTATATATTCTACATTTACATTAATTCAGATAATTCCCTACTAACATAAAGTGCAGACAAAAATGGCCCTGCACCTGCATTCTGTAACTTTTTGTATCTCTTCCAGAAACCTGGTTTGTTATTCTGAAGTATAATGAATATGGATTTAGGCAGAATCTAAATTAATTGCGGGACATTTCCCCTTTGGGAAAAAAAATAAAAAAAGCAGTTCATCTCTGTGAACATTTGTAATGAGGAATGCACTCAGGTGCATATGTTTCAAATAAGAGGCAATCCACCAATGTATTCAGCAGACATCCCGACTCCTTTACAGCAGCAGATTTATATGCGAACATTAATTAAATGTACTGCATGAGGAAATCAACCAATTCCAGGCTGATGATTCCATTTTAATTTTAGGCAGCAGCAGTGCTAACATCCTATACAAATCTAAAGCATTTACATAATACAAAATGTTTCCCGGAGTTAGAAAAAAAAAAAAAAAAAGCTGCTACTGAAACGGTTATCTTAATCATAATCAAAAGCAAGCAACACTGCAAAACATTCTGCGTATGTCTCTGCGGTGAGCGTTTGAATTCCCATTACTATGCTGCTTTGGTCAGAAGCTCGGGGACGATTATGCTGACTACAGAAACCAGAATATCCCTCTTGCTGACGAAGTAACAACACCACCTGTGCAGCCCTTGCGTGTCTGTCGGATACACTTTTGATGATGAAAACGATTGACCTTTAGGGGGCAGAACTTTGGGTAATTGAACCTAATTGATTCATATATGTAGGATGGGAACATAATATCGAATTGAATCAATTACCTGAAGTAGAAGAAGATGGCCAGAGAGATAAGCAGGGAGGCTATGGATAAAGCATGCCCCACAATAGCCATGTAAAACAGGATGTAAGCCGACTGTAAGGACAAAACACAGACATTATGTTAGATAAGAAAAAGGCTGGAGATACAAATGAAGTAATAATCATTTTATGATGCTGCGTCCTTCCTTTATTGGAAAGCTGCACTGTAACATTGGCTTTGATAAATTTTACAGAATCGCCATTGTAATCCCTCAAAATGATTAAAAAGCTAAAATAAGTTACACCGATTCGTTAGTACCTGTTTTTCCATGTCTCCTGACGTCCTGATTATCTGGCTCACCTTAATGTGTTTCAGCTGCACCGATTGGCCTCCTGTTTACAATCATCTGCAACTTATTTTGTCCTGCTTATTCTGTAACCATTTCCAAGCCTGTTTTCTGACCAACAATTTGTGAAATAAGCTGTTTTCCCTCAATTATTAAAGGCGGATTTTATATCTTTTATTCAAAATGTATAAGAATCCTGTGCCTGTTTGAATTTGGTCTCCAAATGTGCATGTTTGGGGGGAAAAAAAGTATCGTTATGGACAACACAGCTGGAAATGGACAGTACATGACCTCTCTGTCCAGTTTTATAAGAGACGTGCTGTTTACAGTGTGACACTGCAGCCAGGTGCTGCTCCTGATAAAAAAAAAGAAAAAGAAAGACTGGGTTTCTAGCCGGGAGCTTCTGTCTTTACAACCCGAGCGACAGAAAGCTGTGAAACATTTGATTGCTTTGTTCCAATAAATGTAAAGTTTGCTTGCCTGGACAAACAGAACCTTCTGCAACTGACTGTCCTGTCTATGAGATAAAGAGACAGCTGAACACAAACCGGTAATCAGGAGCATTTAACCAATTTTAATCTTTGTTCTCCAATAAACATCGCTGTAATAGTGTAATGTCAGATTAACTCAGCGATGCATCTTAGCAACGATGCAGCCATAAAAATGCTATTTCTTCTCACCTACCCATTCTCAAATTACCAGAGGCCTCAGAGCACAAACAAATTAATTCCCACTGCTGCCTCCCTGCAGCAGATTTAAAATAGTGAGGTCTCATAAATCACCTTTAGTTTTGCTTTAGTGTTTTCATTGCAGAGTGTGTAGTTTGACCATGTCCTGTTGGTATCCGGGTGGCGAAACCATTGCCCGTCCTCCCCACAGTACTTTGTTGCCTTCTCTGAAAGCAAATAAATCAATATGATCAAATCGGCAGATCGTTAAAAACAGACTGCTGTCTGTCTCGCGCCGTACCTGTGGGGTCAAAGTCATCAAAATAGTTGGGGCAGTTTTGGAACGTGTAAGTTCCAGCCGGAGTATCTTCCCAGCACAGCCAGCCGTCCCAGTTCCGACTGCAGTACAAACCTGTTCCGACGACCAGAACAATAACTCTCAGATTCACAGAAGAACCAAAAAGAAAAAAAAAAAAAGACTCAACTGCATTTCAGTGGCTTTTCCCCTACCTGATTTGTTGTAAGGTGGATCTCTGTTAATTTTCTCAAAGCATTTGTACTGGTTGTCAAGGATCTTTTTCCGCACAATTTCCCGATTCTTTTGTTGGACCTCAGGACTCTCTGTGGTTTCACTGATGAGATCCACCTCAGTGTTTCGGGAGAACTGTGCAGTCGCCTAAATTTGAGTAAAGTTTATATCATTAACATACCACAAAATAAATGATGTGATATGTCAACTAAATTAAACAACAAAGCATGTAAATTTAAAAAAAAAAAATCACAGTGTGCAAATTATTTCCAAAAATGACAGTATAGCAAAAAAAGTAGTAGGTAGTTACAACCTTGGCATAGCAAGGTTTTGGTATGTAACTTGTAACCAGAGGCAGCTTTTAAAAAAAGGTAATATGGCTCACTGCCCAGGGCTGGCTTTTTATGGGGGCAACACTGCTTCTCCAAATAGAGAAATAAAAATAAAAACATAAAGTTCTGATGGCTACTCACCAAATTAATGTTCTTTTACTTATTTAACTGGGAGTCCAGTCAACAACAATTTAGTGTTTTGGGCATTTTACCAAAAATCTGAATGGAGTTCATGACAACATGACTTTGCCTCTAAATCAAAGGACTATTCTCCAGTTAGTAGGTGTGCTAATCTACAGCTCTAAAGCTAATCTGCTAGGTCTAAACAAGTCACATTTGAGCCGCATTGTTCTAAACTGAGCGTTGTAAAAAAGCTAAATATAACAATATTTAGACTTGTCAAGCTTCACACCACCAATCCAACGCTGCTGCAGGTTGAGCTGAGTGTCCTGACTGAGATAATTATATAGAAACTATTCCTTTTATGGCATGACCAGATTGATGTGACTCTATGAATTTAGTTGAATATAGTGATCACAGAATTGTGAGTGAAGATAGCTAGTGAGAAAGCTGTCTAATTTAAACATGCCTCAAATCCTCAGTTCATTCTGGTTTTGCCCTGAAACGTCTCACTGAGGCGTTTCAGGGCAAAATCATTTATTTGATGCTTCTTTCAAGAGGCATTTCTTTGGCAACCAGAGCTGCTCCACTTCCTAACTTCGGATGCTTATTTAGCATGCAAACAAGAAATCCAATGGTGAGAAAAGGAAAGACAAAAAATCAGCAGAGGGTTTTTGTTTTGCTTCGTTTGTTTTCAGTCATATGCTAGGTCAGTGGAAAACTGTTGGTGAAATTTCTAAATGAATCTTCCTCTATTAAATCTCTCCCTCCTAACTAAGAGGTCTAGGCTTTATTAAATGATGCTCCTTTCTAAAAATGTGACATAAGGCTGCTTGAATGCACTGCAAGACCTTTTTTACATCAATAATAAATGGAACGAGTGGAAATGGATGACTCTATGAACACATTAGTTATCGAGAGCTCAGTGGTGGCCATGCATGACAAATTGGAAGATGCTTTATAGTTTATGCAACTCAGGACGGGTACAGGCTCACACAATTCCACCGATTCCCTTCGAGACACAGATTGGCCATAAAGAGGAATTAAATGCATAAAAATGAAATGAAAAACTGGGACAGTTACAGTCTACATATTTATTTATATTTAAATAACAGCAGGAACGTGTTGATCTAGTCGTTTTCTTAATAGTTAATTGCAGTGGTAATACTAGTAGAAACAGAGCAGAGCAGCTACAGATATGGAGGTTAAGAATAAAGTGTGTTTAGTTTAAGTGAGAATAACTTGTAAAGTCTAGCATTCTGAACATGAAAAGGTTCATGAACAATAAAAATGGGATAAAAGTAGGAGCAATAATGGCAGTGGCTCTGGGTAACCTTTACCTACGTTGTTTTGACGATTCATGCTTTGGTGGAGGTTCAGTTTATTTATTTTCACTTGATCTTGTCTGTGAGGAAAGTCACTTTAATATTAAAAAGGAGGAAATTACCCTTAATATCTCCAGGTTGTCGTCAACACACAGCGTATAATTAGTCCAAGTCATGCTGCTCACTGGATGGCGAAACCACTGCCCATCTTCTGCACAGTACTTTGTAGCCATTGCTAGGAATTAGGATACACTTTTATTACTATGCAGGACACTTGTGTGGTTTCTAGCTTTAGAATATATGAGCAGATTAGTAGGAGAGTGAAACTGATTTATTTTACCTGTGGGATTGAGGTCAGAAAAATAATCAGGGCAGCTCTGAGAGGCAAGGGTACCTGCCGGTGTGTCGTCCCAGCACAGCCAGCCGTCCCAGTTACGACTGCAGTATGGCGCTTGAACAAACCCACAAAAGCATTAAATACCTGTTTCGAAGGAACACCTGTTGATATTGTCAACCGTGAAGCCACATTAAAAAGTACCTGTTTTGTTGAGTGCTGGGTCTTGTTTCATTTTTCGCAGACACTTCTGTTCATTTTCTTCTACTTTGAGTTTCTGTGGAGAAAATACAGTCTTAAAATGACTTACTTTGTGTACAAAAAAGGTTGACTTTCACAAAAATAACGTGTGCGATAAATTCAAGAGATGCACTGTGACATCATTTTGTGATAAAAATCAGCCAGTTTTCGGTTTAGCTGATGACCGGTCGGCGTTTCAAAAGAGAGTGCCTTTCTCTGACCAATGAATGTGAAAAGATCATTTGTAGAATCAGTGAGGCGTTCATAAGAGCTTATCTAAAAGGAAATATGTTCAGCTTCGTGTTGAGGTAGTTCTAAAATTCACTGAAGAAAGCAAAGGAAAGCCTGGCTTTCAGCAGATAACAAGAAGGTGCAAAGTTGCAGGTTTCTTGCTTGAGCTGTCCAACATATGTCTGCAATCCAAAGTTATGCATTTAGAAACGTTTTCAGCTTTTTGGAAATGTCATGCTTACAGTAAAGATGTACAATCTGTAGGGATACACGGTGCATATTTATAATGGTAACCATAAACCATATTATTCACCTTAATAAGATGCTAGAGGAAGCTCATTTTAAATGGTCAACTCTATTATTATTGTTTTCATTTTTAAAATGAATTTATAAGGAATGCTGAACTGTGACTGGGCTGATGTTGCCCCTGCTGTTAGCACAGAAAACAAATAATGATTGTTCATAATAAGAAAGTAGAAAAAAACAAATATTGAACCTATTTTTTCTTAAAGAAAAATCAGAAGCACAAAACTGGCCACTAAATCAGTGATCAGTGCCTCTCTTATAAATAGACATTACCGCTGGCCTCTTGTCTTCGGTTGTCACACAGAGTGTGTAATTGGTCCAAATTTTATTGCTCGATGGATGACGAAACCACTCTCCATCTTCTCCACAGTACTTTTTGGCCTGTTCTGTAAAGCAGGTGTAATTTAATTTTTATTTAAGTTTTTTTTTTTTAATACAGCCTTTTTGAGTGTTGCGTCTCACCTGTGTGGTCAAAGTTTACAAAGTAATCAGGGCAGTTCTGGGATGCGTAGGTTCCTGCTGGAGTGTCGTCCCAGCACAGCCAGCCATCCCAGTTCCTCCTGCAGTGCAAGCCTGCCACATCACATCACAAAAATGAAAGCATATTCAAACCTCTAGCAGATGTCGGATTAAAAAATAATAATAAACCGTGTCAGTACCTGATTTATTATAAGGTAGCGCGTTCTTCATTTTCTCTAGGCATTTGTTTTCATTTTCAAGAATAATTTTTTCTGTTCTGACCCACATGGCTTCTGTGGTTGGCTCTCCTGCCGCATCCTTTAAAAAACCAATTTCCTTTTGGAGGCAAAAAAAAAAAAAAAAGAAAGAAGACAAGCAGCTACGTTGTTTACATGGAAGTTGCACAAGTTGTCTCATCTTTCTATTGCTTCTAGGCAAAAATCCAATAAACAGTTACCTCTATTTTGCTCTTTAAAGGTGCTCCACAAGCGGAGCCTATTTGGACCCAGTTGCCTGATTTGTCACAATATTTGGTCACGTTTTCTGCAGAGAAGTAGAAAAGAAGTGGCACACTGTGTAATCAACCAATAACTTTCCCAAATGATTTATTTGCAGGCACATTTTTTTCTATTTCAGCGAGAGATTTAGTAGAGAGTGTGTGCTTTGGATGCCTCGCTCTGTTATTTTTCATCAGTAGCATATTGGCATAATCCTGACACGGCGAATCTTGGCAGTACTAGAAAACTATGATTAATTCACCTTGGCAAGCAGCATCAAACAGAATGTTTTCCACCTTTGGAGTAATTTTTTGGCAAATTGTCAAATGTCAAACTTTAAAAAAAAGACATGTACAAGAGATTCGTGACGAGGCTACGAGAATGAGATCACATTATTCTTGACAGAGGCAGCAACAACAGCTTAGTCCTAGCTGACAGCTCATCTACTCCTCGCGAAATAAAATCCCCTCCCGGCATCAGATCGGTAGTACAAGCTTTCAAATGGTCCATATGGGGACTCTTAGAGTCACAGACATTTCTAGTAGGATCCCTCATGAGCCAGCTCGTACAAAAACAACCAGCCGGCTCCCTCATTCATACTGTCTCTCCCCATCCATCTCTCCGGCTCCAGTTTTCCTGCCTTTATTCCTCTCCTGCTTTTTTCCCTCCACCTACTCCTCATTCATCTCTCTGTCCTCTACCTCACCTCCCCTCTCTTTGTCATGTTGCATCTCTTAAATCATGGCATGACCCGACTCTGGATCTCTTCAGCCAGACATCACTGAGCCTCGAATTATCCACCATGTAAAAATTTTTACATTCTGTAAAAACCAGCAGTCCTGCAAATCAAGCATGAACCTTTCTTACATAATCGAAGTCCACAGTCTATTTCCCCTCAAATAAATGGCCGTATTTATCCAGCCTGACTGATCTGATAATGATTTACCTTTTATCTGATGTGCACAGCTCTTGTACCGGCTGCCATTTGAATGGTGTGTTGGGAAAAGGTAGCACAAAGAAGCATTTGTTACTTTTTTACGTTTGAACTCAGCGAGAATTTCGGCGAGAAGCACTTGACATGTCTCATGTGATAATAATCAAAGACATATGGTCTAATCAGCACAGAGATGAGTCACTAACCATAAAATAATTGTCATTTCAGATCAAAATCATATAGAAAACCCCACAGACTGAGTGGAAAGAGGATGAAGGATCATTCAAAAGATTGTTCAAAAAGGAATGGTTAAACAATATTGAATGCTTCAAATCGGTAAATGTTGACATCTGCAAAAAAAAAGAAAAAAAAAAGTCAAATTTGCAAAATGTTATTAACAGCAATGGTTTCAATAAATCTTTTCAGTTTGATTTTGTACTCCTGCAGTCATTTACTTCAAGGTTTTGAATAGCTTTTGATCAAGGACGCCAATAATTGTAAAAATGTTTTTAACGTTGGCACAGGGTATGCCCACAAGATATGAATGTTTTCAATTATATGACTGTGCCTCCTACCAAGCCTTAATAAATTATCCAGTCTTGAAAAAGGCTGAACACTGAAATCAAACTAAAGTTATCCAAAAATATGTCCTCCCATTCTACCACCTCCAACCAGAGAAAAGCCTGTATTTATTTCATTTTTGGTTTTGGTGAGAACTGACTGGACAGGTTTACTCAGAAATTTACTAGGCAATTTGCATCCGCAAAACAAAGTCTGCACAAAGTTCACTCAGAAATAAAACTGTAAATTGTAGCATTTCATCTTTTGCATGGAAGTACATAAGAGAGGTGATGTTTGCAGAAGAGTAAGCATCATCTCTCACTTCATTCAGCTCCACTGACTACCCTCAGTCGCTGCTATCAAAGTCAAGTCACTATCAGCCAGCAAAGTGCTCAATAAAATAGCTGTCAATTACTTGAACGCTCTCGCAAAGGGCTTGCGAGAGCATTCAAGTTACACTGTAAGACATTTTACAATAAGTTACACTGTAAGACATTTTACAATAAAACAACTTTTCAGAAAACACCTCCGACTGCAGCACCTACCTGGTGCACCCGTCTGCCAAATGCACAAACACCCATAAAACTTATGGAAAGGTCAATTCATTAATATTGTTTTTGACTCAAGGGCATGGTGAGTCACTAAACAAATTACATGTTGCTGCTGCTGCTTTTATGACGGATACTGAGCAGATAACTTTATCGAAGAAACTTCCAAGATGACCCAAAACCAGACAACTGAAAAGGGTGTAAGAGAAAGGGGTGTGAAAGCTCTAAGCAGAAGCATTTTTTTTCTTAGAATTTGACATGTTAGGATGTAACACAAGATTAATAAATCTAACATCATGGAATGTGAAAATAAGTAGCTGTAAAATGAGACCTGGTAGAATTAGCATTATGAGAAAACAGGGCATTGAAAGAAGTTAAGAAGCTGTGCTCGAATGATAAACTCTAAATCTGACTTAAATCAGAAAACATCAGGGTTTCAAGAGCAGATGAAGTGTTGGAGGATTTCATCGTTATGGACACACACACACACACACGCACGCAACCGCACACACTGCATTGATGTGTAAAAAATACATTTATAGTTCAACAGGAACTAGTTTCCAGCTGGTCTCAGTTCAGCCAGCTTGTTGTTCTACTCTAGTGAGAAAAGCAGAAAACTTACCGGTTGGACCGAGGTCAGGGTGATCTGGACACTGTAGAGTTACCGATTCCCCAGCCGGTGTCTCATTCCAGCACAAAAACCCATCCCACATTGGAGCGCAGAACAGACCTCAAGAGCCAAATAAGTATAATTATAAACACATACATTTTGCCTGGGTTTTTCCTCAAAGTATGACACAGTCCAGAGAACCTTTCCAATCTGAAAAGAGTCAGATCATTTGTGCTTAACCACTGCCATCACCACCAACCTTCTTAAAAAAAAAATTACGCTCTCACCTTTGCAAAAGTATTTCAATTCAAACTCTTTTTTTTCATCAAAACCAAAAACGTCTGTGTATTTTCTTGGATTTAATGCAAGCAGTAAAGCTCAGCTGTGAAACAGAAGGGAAATGGGTTTGTTAAAGAACATCAGTAGCGTCGTGAAGATCAGCATCATCAAGTAGGATGTGGCTGTAAAACAATATCCCAAAGCTTAGCAAGGTGCCGTTCAAGCCAGCATTTGAAAATGGAAAAAGTGTGGCACAAAAACCCTGAGAAGTCTGAACACCAAAACTCAAAGTCAGAATCTAAGGTTACATTTGCATGAGACCACTGCCTGAAAACTGCTGGTATTTCGGGGTGTTGATGGGGGGGAACGTTTCACATTTAGACGTCACCACCAAGACACCTTGACTGAGCTGCAGTCGTTCTGCCAGGCCACTATATGGCGTTATTTTTTTTCATGTTGTCAAATGTGCATCTGCTTTTGACCCTTAGCTTCTACCTGATTGTAAATAATAACCCATCTGTCTCCTATGATCAAACTGCTCATATAACACATATATTATTTATCAGAAATTGTGCTAAGCTGAACAGGTTAAATACCACAACACAGCCCAATGCTACCCGCAATTGTTTTTGTTGTTATCTGCAGAGTTTGGGGTTGTTACAGAAAAGTTTCACTCTGAGATCTGGTTTGAAAAAATCCCAGTGTGAGCTACTCAGGTCACTGGTGTTGTGCAAACGAATGCCTGAAGCGCAGCAAAAACGTTACGGTTTATCTTAAGAGTGATTCAGCGTGTGCATGAAGGACCTAAATCCGATCCTGAATCTGTGGCAAGACTTGAAAATTGTGTTCAATTGTGTTGGACAGACACGCTATCCAATCTTATCAAGCTTAAGGAATTATGCAGGGAAGAACATTAAAAAAAGACATAGCTTGAGCTGTTCAAAGCTGGTAGGTGAAATTCTCGTAGTTTGTGACAAAGTCTGAATAAAAATTCAAGGGGTATGAATGCATTTGCAAACCACCATTTATCTGTCACAGTTTCTGAGTGGTTTGATGTCTGCCTCTCACCGGTTCTGTTTTTTTGGGCAAATCTTTTGGATGGCTCGACACATCTGTGTTGACCTTGGCTCAGCACCTTCTCACTCTGTCCCATCTCGGTGCTCAGTCCAGGACTGAGCGATGTGTCTGAGATTGTTCCAGCGTCTGCTGCCTCCCTGAGCTGTGGAGAAAAAGAAATCAGATGTGTTCTCATTTACATTCCCTCCACGGCCAGGAACACAATAAAGTGTAAGAATCATCTTCAGCAGCAGCGAGGTCTTCAAATGTTTCACTTTGCAGAAAGACAAGCTTGAATAAAGGCGCACGTCTTTACAAATGATGGCATTTTAAATGGAGGAAGGCATCTGGAAAGTTCCTTGAAAGCTGTTCTGATCACAATTTCTCTGATTTAAAATTCTGGTCTCTCTCCAAGTGTGTGACTCATTAAAATGTGTTTCGGATCACACAAAAGAAGTTAAGCAGCTGATTTATTTTTTTTCTCTAAATGAATCATATCTTAGTCCTATTGTTTGTATTTGGAGGTAGATGTAAAATGAAAAGGTGCTGTATGAAATGCCGATTTGATCGTGCTGCTCACTGAAGGATAAAGAACTTATATTGGTGTGACTTATCTTAATCTTACTTTTCTGGGGGCGAAATTTAAGCCTCTCCGAGTGCCAGGCTTATGCATTTGCATTTCATGAATTATTTGAAGAATACTTTGCCAGGATCATGTCCAGCTTTTATCACGACTGAGGAGCTTCTTTAACCCGACTCTTTTCAGAGGAGCCAAGTGATGTCCTTACCTCTTGTGACACAAAAGAAGCTCGCAAAAGACAAAAAAAAAGCGTAAAAGTATCGTCAAAAACAGGATGTCCCATGTAGCAGTTTAGCAGCCGTACATATGATGTCACTCCAAGCATTGAAGTAAATGACGTCATACATACGACCACCAGGCCACCACCAATATCGAAAAAAAGAAAAAAAATCTTCTTTCTCTTTTAAAAAAAAAACCCCTCATTCTTCCTTTATTACAGCATCTAATTCCTCCTGAATTAAATAAAAACAGCATTTAAAACAACGTAAAATTACAATCCACAGTAACACTTACATTCGATCAGAAGTTTGAAAAAAAATCAGAGTTATATATAATTCTTTTTTCTTCTTCCTGTTAGTTTTGATGACTCTTAATTTATCATCAAGAATGTCAATATCTCATGATTGCTTTCCAACAGTTTGAACACTGAAACGCTGACTCCAGCTGCAGTCCAGACCCAATAAATCTGCTCCGAATTCTTAAATGGGTTTTCCTTTAAAGTTCTTCCAAGGCTGGGTTTATTCCTTCCACTCAACTTTCTATTAATATGCTTGGATAAAGCACTCTGTGAACAGGTTGATCTTTATTATTGACCTTTTGTGGCTAATCCTCCCTGTGGAGGGTGTCAGTGTCTGTCAGCTGAACATCTGTGAATTCAGCAGTCTTCCCTATTAATGGTTAAGCCGTGAACACGACAAGTATTACAAAGCTGTTCTTTTATTATCTTTATTTTTGAGAAACTAAACTTTGGGTTTTCACTTGCTGCCAACTGTAATCATTAAAACGACAGCTTCCACTTCTTATTGCATAATCTGCATCAGAACATCCGTGACATTTGTTTGCACTACTGCCATCAAGTTCCCTTTTTAATGACAAAGCACAGCAAAGTTGTCCCTGCATGATTTGTAGTTCTTCGGTGTGTCATGCTGGGATGTTTTACTAATGACTAGAAAAGAGTCCATTAAGCTAATTAATGCCATTTCTCAAAGAGAAGACATTATGGCTCAGCCCCATAGCGGCGGTGAAGGTTGAGCTGATAGATCTGAAGATTTATTCAAGAAAAAAGCCTTGAGCCAAATGAAGACACAGCTTAATTTAATAAATATATTCTTTTTACATTGCAACGAAAAAAAAATAGATTTCAAGTTAATGTATACCTTTCTCAGTAATCACTGGAAACATCTTTATTTGTATAGCAGCAATCAAAGCATTTGTTATCATTTTGACAATGTGTTCCAAAGCTCAATGACGTCCACAGATTCTCTGTCAGACTCTAACTATCGGTCTTACTGGGCCACTCAAAATTATTAATATTACAACAAGTCAAAACAAATATGCTGGTCAAATTAGAAGATCAATTTAAACCTAACTCTTCCAGGGGGAATGCACAGTTTTGGGGTCAACTTATCGTTTGAGTTGCTGATTTTATTTTTTTCTTTTAAACAACAATATCATCTTCAACTTCCTGATTTAATTTCACTAGACATTAGGAACACACATGCAAGTTTTCAGTTTAGCTAAATTCATTTGTATGTGGTCAGTTTTGAACAAATGTGGGCAAATTATGAAATGGTTGAAATGGGTCACAAAAGTGAGAGGAATGGTCCGCGGGGAGTATGTCCTTTATTGTTAAGGAAAAGTGAAAAAGATAGTAATTTATACCCCTGCTTTTTTGCACATGTATTCTCTGAATCTTTAGTTTGTATTGTGTAAGGGTTTTTTTTTTTTATGAACAGGGACTACGTTTTATCATCTGGTTCAAAATCTAAACTGTTCTGCAGTTTAAACCTGAACTTGACTTTTCACCTCAAAACACTGAGTCTTTCTAAACATGAATACTTTATTTTACTTCTAATTTTGAAAACTAAATAAACAGAGGATGCTGACTGTAAAAATTAAGAGATTGAAGACGTACTTATTTGTTCAGAAAGCTGCAGCTTGAAAATTTCTGTACGTCACTGATTTAGAATAAAAACAAGTGGAAATTATCCATCCTGACAACAATAAGATATTGGAAACAAATTTGTGTATGCTACACCTTATAGACCAGTGGGTTTTTATAAGAACATTGGTGCATGTAGTCAAATAATGAAGACGTTTTAAAACCTCAAATGACTGCTAATAAGACAACTATGAAAACGTTTTACTGTTAAATTAATTATTGTGTATGTTTTATTTACTAAATAAATTATGCTACTTTACTTTTGTAGTCATTTTTCAGTAAATAATCTGACACAATATTTATTCCAATATATTTTACAAAATTAAAAAACAGATAATGCCTTATTTGTGCCTTCTCTGGTAACTGTGGAGTACTATTTTAATGATTATTTGGCTGCAATTAAGAGTTTTAAAATGTAATTTCTGTCCACAACATGAAAACTAATGAATGCACAATCACAGCATGGGAATGTGTTTTTTATTCTGTGTCGATATCAGAACCTGTGCACCCAGGCACTACTCACGCAAAAAACAACAAATACACTCCCGAGTCATTCATCTTTTAGTTTCTCCAGCCAAGCTGAGCTAATTAAATAGCACAAATCATAACGGTTAGTGGAAAGCAATCATGAGATATTGAGATTCTTGCTGATAAATGAAACCATCCGACCAAAACATATTACATCTCCCTTTAATAGAAACTGAACGCTCTGCACGTGTGCACGGGATATAAAATAGGAAGGGCTTTGAGGACTTTGCAAAGTTAAATTATGAAAGCCAAATGAAAGCTTACCACCAGAAGAGACCAAACAATCCACAAGGAGCCTGCACACCTCATATCTTCCAAACACAGGTAAGTCTCTGGAGAAAGAACAGAGAAAAGCAACACGTCAAACCTATTAGAGAAATAATTTAACTGCAATGAGATGACTGAGAAAAGAAAACAATGTTTTGTTATTTTGATTTTATTTCAGATCAAGAAATAAACCTCTTGAGAAAAAACATCCACAGAACCAGTCATAAGAAATGGAAAAGACTGCAGAAGAGCCAATGCAGTTTGGAACATGTCACACTTCTCTGTATGTATCTAAAAAGCAGACACACACACATCCATATGACATGTCAGTGCATACACGAAAAGATAGCATCAAATAAGTCAATTGTGGTTGTAAAGGAATGAAGAAAAACCGAGGTGGAGTCAGACGAATATCGTTAGGAGCCATGAATTGTGTGCAGAGCCTCTGCTTCTGCAGAACAGCAAAGGCATGTGGGCTGAGAATTCACCTCAGGACTTTCACTTTGGCTTAGAAAGAACCTGCTGGAAGCTCCGCACTCCAGCATCTGAACGCTAAGGATTTCCTTCTTGCTCCAAACAGCGTCACAGCGACTCGATGTGTAGACGATTCAGCATGGGTGAGCAAGTCAGAGAGTTATTGATAGTATTTCTTTTGGCAGCAGTGGCACACTGATGGTACTTAGCTTTAAGATGACAAATAAACCTGGGAAAGCATCTGCCAGGAATTCAAGGCCAAGGGTTTTCATCTGCAGCCAAGGTTTCTTTTAATGCTGCAGTGTTTTCCTTGTCTTTTTTGACATTTTCCTAAAATGCAAAATTGAGCATGTTGATGGAAAAATTGTATCAAATGTAAAGGTTTTTTTTTTCTGTCTTTGTTTATTTTGTATGTCTGTCTCAAGAAAAGAAAATAAGTTTTCAAAAATTCTCTCCAATACTCTTAACTTCTGGATATAATTTTATTATTTTTAAAAAATGACATTTTGGGAAAGTAAATCCTTTCAACAAGTGATAGGTTTTTCCAAATTTCATCTAAAAACACAAGTGAAATATTTTTCAAAATGTCTTTTAAACATAGCAACGTCAATTTACAACTGAAATTGTCCCAGGCAAATCTCCAAAGCTCGCTGAAGGCAACTGCAGGTATTTTTTAAAACAATTTTGCCAGTGTTTAATTACCATTTTTGAGACTTTTATTCAGCTTTACATCCTTTACCAGGGTGGCCTAAAAAAATGGTTAATTCCTGGATATTTATTCCTAAAATTTGGCAAGAAACACTTTCAAAATTTGCAGATCTAGCATTACATACTTTTGCTAATTTTAAAAAAAGAATCAATTGAAGCCTCAGCCAAGTTTTAACAATGGATTGAAACTAATCTTTATCCATTCCAATATTGCACACAGTTGCTAATCTACAGCATTTTTAAAAAGACTGGCTGTGATGGACTAGTGTTAGTGATGAATCAGAGAGAGACACATAATAGGCTTGTTTACATGAGCTGCGCGGTACCAATTAATGGAGCTCCAAGCACAACTAATGGTGCTTACATTTGTGTTTGACTTTTTATAGTTACACAAGTGATCAAGAGTTAATAAGATGCAAACAGCTGCAGGCTGAGCTCTATTTGGCCTAGTGCATGATGGGAAATGTGTCCTTTCACCTTCTAAAAGAGTTTTTAGATGCCTCTCTTTACCAGCTTCCAAGCCAGAAGAAAGAATGACAACGCTTACGTCTGGAGATCGATTTTGAAAACAGAAATGGGACCCCCATTTTATTCAGTGTTCGAACTGTGAAACTGTTCATCATTTATATTCATAATCATATTTACTGCCTGCAATCATAAAACACAACCATCTTCAGGCCAAAACAAAACTTTAATCAGAAGACCAAAAGTAATTCAATGTGTTACAAAAGATCAGAGTCATAGAGAGACTCTGATATACAAAGAATATATAAAGAATTTTGGTGCTTATCTTTTTGAAATTAAGTATTCAATAAGGTGCTACTACCTGAGCTATCCTCACTCCTGGACAATCGCTCACTGAGACTCACACTAAATGCACCAAAGAACATTATTGCAGCACCTTCCTCCATGCAGCTGTCACTTTTATCAACAAGTGACACACAACAACACACATTTTTCTGTTGCAGCCATCATTGTGTGTAATGATATCAGTGCCACCTCTATCTGAGTGCAGTCACCCTTGAACGTTAATTTCCTGTTTGGACTCAATGCAGTAAATGTTTGTGTGTATTCAGTGATGTTCTCTATTATTGGATTTAAACATTCCTTAGGTCTTGTCATTTCCCCCACTTTTGTGTGTACTTTTCTTATTTTTGCTGCAGTTATGTAAATTTCCTGTAGGGGAACAAATATTACTATATTTACAGGCCAGAGAAATGCATGGATCAACAATCTCCTCGCAGGGAAAAAGATTTTCTGAAATTGACGATTCACACTAGTAAATTTTTAGCTGCAGGCAGGCAAAGGATTTTGTGTAAGGTGAATTATTTAGCCTCTTTACAGACAAATGTTCTACATCTCATGGAGTATAAGCTGCAAAACCCCTGAAGTCCATATAACTGAATGCAAGGCACTGACTCTTCAGTTTGGTCTCACGCGGAAAGTTGAAAATTATCATGCGGCTGAATTACAGAGCTAAGTGTTATAATGTTTGCAATTACAGCCACCACAAAGAGTACCTGTTAGGGGGGATAGATCCTGCACTTGGCAACAGTAAAAACTATGTCTCCTATACCTTGGAGCAATTACTTATTTTCTAAAGGTGTCAAGCACCGAAACGGTAAATTTATAAAGGCTGAGCTCAGGCTGCCGCACTGAGGGCATCGCATCTTTGCTCTGGTGGAGACAGAATTGAGAATCCAGCCTCTATCAGGTTCTGAGATCGGTTGCTATTAAATCTGCTTCTTGTTCACTGGAACACATTTAGTTCTTCGTTTGCAAATGAAAAACTCACTTTGATATTTTTATTAAAGTTGCCGCCGATTGCTACGTTCAAAATGGACCTCAATCCCCCTCCGAATTAGTGTTGTTCAGACGTAAGACAACAACAGTGGCCTTTAACTGGGAAATTGTTACTGACACAAAAGATTAGCTCCATATTGTTCAGTGCTGATGTAAAAATATTATTAAAGCAGAAAGGCCAGAAATAAATATTTAAAGTTCTTGTCCCATACTCTCCTTGACATCAAAGATCTGCCACAAAATTCAGGCTGTTGCATCTGTGTTCAAAGTTTATGTCATTTATTATTAATAATTAGGGGTGCATCAGAAAATAACAGTCAAGGCCTATGTGGTCAGTTTGGAGGTCATGCTTTTTATAAAACAAAACCTTATAAAATCAAGATTTCATTCAACATAGATCAAAATAATTTATATGCTACTCACTTTCAAAATAAAATATGAATATATATTAAAATATTTTAATAGTCTTTATCCAGTATGCCATGCATGCATGGTTTAATTGTGTTATTAAGCTTTAGTTTTGCATTTTGCAGTAACAAACATGCAAGTTTTCAAGGTCCTGGATGCCTTTACCAGAGATTAGTATCTTTATCTAAAAAATATTAAGAAACATGTAACATTTCAACATTACAGCACAAGTTTAGGTTCTTTACCAAAAGATCCACTTCTCACCTAGAACAAGTTCAGAACAAGCTTCACACAGTAGCTCCACACGTGACCCCTAACACAGACCACACGGCTTGTTTATGGCTGAATAATATCTGAAATACACCCACTACACACACACACACACAGGCACACTCCCAACCCATCCCACAGAGATGTAGAGCAAAAACAAGGCCATAAAGCAAACTAAACTAATGTTCAGCACTAAAAGCTACTGAAGAGGGGAAGGTTAATTGTTTGCATCATGGATTTGTAAAAGTCTGCTTTAAAATTAATTACTGCTTAGACTCCATCCCACTTTGAAATTCCTGTGTGATTGCTGACTAACTAAATCGATATTGTGGGTCACTGAAATAAAATATTGACAGTCTAGCTTTCAGCACGAAATGCAAAACCATAAGCTAGATTGGAGTTTTGAAGCATTTTTGTTTTTATTGTTTTACCCATCACTTTGATTATAACATTAACAACAAATATTTGAAGCATACTAAAACAGTCAACTAAAGTAAACATCAAAATTTCAACATTAAGATCCTAAATGTGACAAATTCTTCAGAAATACCCTAATTTATTGAATATAATCGTAGTTTTATGTCACTGTGGGCAAGTTTATTTAATGAATGGAATTTTTGTTTACCTTGGAAATATTACATGGATGTCTGCATACAACAAAACAAAGTATTTTTGGACATGACGCTTTGTTTAAAATACCTTCAAATAAAATACCTACTTCCTAAGACTTTTGTATTTAAGTTTTGAGTTTCAGCTTTTGACTTTGACTTTTTTTTTCTTTCTTTCATCTGCCATTAATTCATCAGTCTGCTAATATCATACAGGACCGCCTGTCTATTGTTTAGGTAGTGGTCGCCAGAGACACAATACATTTGTGCTGACATTACATCAGTGATGGAGGAAGTGCCGGCTAAATCAGATTTTCTGTGGATTTCCCACTGATTCAACACATACGAGCTCTGGCTCAGCAGCCACAAATGAGTTGCATTACCAATCCCAGATCAGGAGGATTAGCTTGACCAATGGACATATTTCAGATCTTAACCACAGAAAGCTGGTACATAAATTTCCCCTAATAGAAACACATTTGCACTGTTCTTCAAATTACACGATCAAGCAGCAAAGTCAATAGGGCAGTGTTTTCCAACCTTTTTTGAGCCAAGGTACATCGTTTTCATTGAAAGAATCACGAGGCACACCACCAACCAAAAATCTAAACAAACAAAATTTTTTATATATATAGTAGTCCTTATCAAGATGTCTTGAATAGGAATCAAATAAACACAAAGATTTATTTGTATCATATTTTATATTAGATATTTCAAATTGCACTTAACATGTCTACTTCGAAAGTACGCCTGAACAGTGGCACACAACTAGTTCTGCCCACAAGCATTCTCTT